TTTTTACGATATGAATAATGTTGATATCTGTATTTTAAATAATCTGCACCAATGGTTTTGAGAATATTCTATAGATAAGTTTGTCATCAAGTTATATACTGATATCAATCATGTCGTTGTATTGTAATAGGTAAGATTTTGTTTTAGTACAAATAAAACGAAAATTCAACTTTCCTAAAAAAGATATTGTACAAGCACTTTTTAATACTGGACACTCAATGACTAAAGAAATATATTTTATACCTCTTAAACGTCTTTATAATATAACCTGGAAGAGAATATCGCAATTGGTTAAATTTTACATACCTCAGTCGACTACACTAAGGTTGAGTTGCATCAGCTTAACTTTAACCGTAACTATAACCGGTGTTGTTGTATGGACTGACAGACTTGTGACGTTTGTTAATGTAAGACGGTGCATACCTGTGTTAGTTGTTAAATAAACATTGCAATAGAAACACTCTTTCATAACTCCATTACATGACCCAAGAATGGAAGTTTCCCAACTACGTTTGTATGTATTTGTAAACCAATCATCATACAGAGACCATCAAGGGATACTGAAACATAAATCACCAGAAAATATGGGCCATTTTACTGTATTCTTTGTTTTCTTAAGCCGTGTTTGCACTATCCAAGTAATTTAGTCGAGTGACGAGTGATAGTAACTAAACGTGTTCTATCCCAACGCCAAAAATTTAGTGGAGTAGGTTACTAAATTGTTTAGTCAAGCTCAAAGTCGAACCTTAACTTCGAACTCCTATGTTCTTCTGATTAATTTTGTTGCAGGTCCAATGACAGCTTAACTTTCCCCCGGGACAAACTTAACCTTCACTGGTTAGGTTTTTATTGGCGGTTAAGCTTTAGATTCTGGCTACACAGGAGTTGCAGTAGTGGGAACGAGAGGTAGGAATAGTCCCGTTAGTCGAGCCAATCCATTTTGTTGCATTTCGACATGCTAGAAGTAAACCCATCACGCGTCCCTGCTCACTCCCTCAACAGCTAAACGAGTTCGAACTGGGCGGTTTAGTCGATTTCATACAAAAACCACTAATTACTTGTAAAAATTGATTAAAGTGCGAACGGTTTTTTGGTCTGTAGCGAGTTGTTTAGTTACTAAAGGAGAGTTACTCCACTAAATACATAGACTATTTGTGACACCATTCCCCAACAATTGTAAATCACAGTTTTTAAAAAAATGACACTTTACTTGAAAAAAGTAGTTTGAGTTGACAAAATAGTGACATCACTTGCTTGTATTGCCACACAAAATATATGGGAGAGTATCATTTTGACAGTTTAAAAAGTAACGTCAACGGTGTCAACACGACCCACTACAACGAACTGTCCTATGACATTGACAGGGGCCGCCACCGTCAATACCGGATCGCTGGTTCCAATTTTTACCACGTTGGAAACTATAATGAACGATGGTGGCGCCCCACCGTCAATGAGTTTGGTTGGACAGTTCAGTGCGAACAAGGCTTTACACCAATGGAAGGACAAAGTTAGGATCTTGTTGAGACAAGTTCGGCGATAGAATAACTTCCATCGACATGTCACATCAATATTGTTTTTGTGTTATACATTAGCCACTTATCCGAGGCTATGTAGCAGATAATACGACAAATTGGAAGAGAAAGATCATTTTCTTTCGCAAGAAGAAAAGATATAACCATATCGTAAATGTGAGAAACATGCTTACAAAGAAAGTATTTGTAATTGATTTGTTAATGAAGTGACTATCGCCCGTATTCACAAACATTACTATGAGGTCTCACACTGCGCGTGGACGCACAGGGTCACACACGAACCAATCACAGAGCTCTATTCAACGCTATGCGTTCGATTTGCTGCTTCATTTAAGCCAACATCGATTGTAAATACGGGTGTATTATTATGAATAAAAAATCTCCTACAACTTTAGGTTTGTTGTTGTCTTTTGCACTGCTCAAGTACAAAATTTTGTTAATCGGACCTTAGTATAGTTAATTTTATACATATATCGTGTACCATTATAATGGACAAAGAGTTGCCCCAGAATATCAATTGGTTCCAATTTATAAAATGACTTGAAAAAATCGAACTACCTAAGGTGAGAATCGATCCAAGCGAAAGGTCGTGGGTTCGATCCCCACCTTAGGCAATTCGATTTTTTAAAGTTATTTTAAAAATATTTAGATAGAGACGCGACCCTCAACGCCACAAAAAAATTAATAACTAGCGCTATGGTTCCAATTTAACTGTAATTAAACGAAGGCGTTAAAAATCACAAAATAAGAAAACCCTTTGCTGAAGTCCTCATTCAGACACTATTGAAAAAGTCTGATTAATTCACACTGCCTGTTTCATAGAAACTTTACATCGACTGAATAGACTTTTCCTTAAATAACATCTTATTTGGCAACTCAGAAGTTCGGTAATGGACCGCCTATGGCGTGACGGTCGCCAAGTGTTGTCTATGGTAATATAAGTAGACGATTATTTTTAGAATTAAATCTAGGTAGTAAAATGTTGGTAAATTAGAGAGAAAGAAAGATATATTTATTACAATGGACATCACACAAATACAGGCAATTACATAAGACATGACAGTGGCACATAATAAAGGAAAAAATTAATAAAAACAAGAGTAAACTGAGCAGTGCCACCCATCCACCAACAAGATGCCCACTGCAAAGGGGTCACTCAGCATATGCCGTGGCCCACGGTTACGAAGGCCACGGCGCTGGTTTTCAGTGTGCCCCAAGCCGAGTGAGGGTCACGGCACGGACCATTTATTAAAATAATAATTCAAAATAGTTATACTTTTATATAGATCTGAATTGTCTATTATTTTAATCCAAAACAAATTTAGGTAATAGTGTTTACCTATTTACCTACAGGTTAACATTGTAGACAATGATATTAATAATGTTAAAGTAATGTTATTATAAGCTTTTTGTAAAGAATATTCGTCTCTAAAGTATCATTTAAACTCGGAATCGACCAATAAATTAAACAGATATCGATGGAAACCTGAAAAACCAGTATTTTTTTTTACAAAACTGTTGGTAAACAGTAGTTTATAGTCTATTATTGGTTATATGTAATCCAGTGCTATCTCTAGATCTTCAACGCGTGTATTACAGTACGATAATATTCGTAATACGATAGAGGTTACATTTCATTGACTAGTTGTGCCTGCGACTTCGTGCGCTGGAAAATAGTTGGAATATTTCCGCGTTAGGCCGCTGTAGGCTTTTGTCGATAAATGGGTTATCCAACACACAAATGTTTTTTCAAATCGGACCAGTAGTTCCTGAGACTAGCGCGTTTAAACAAACAAACATACTCTTCAGCTTTATAATATTAGTATAGATTAACTATAATAAATGAGATCCATAAAAAGTGACAAGTTCACTATCAACAAAATACTCGATATTTTCCCTATAGTTTNAAGAGTTTCCAAAATATTTTTTCCGTATGAACGTACGACGGGACACGCATAAACTGCTCAAAGACTTAAGGGACAGTCCTTTGGGAAATTCATCTATGTTTATAACGCCATAACGTCAAGAAAACTTAGGGGAAACGCAACATTACAGTGTGAAGACTTGTGGGAATTCAAATGTAAGTAGAAGTAACGTACAGTTTTGTCGCTTAAGTCCAAATAACGTAAGGGGGAAAATTGTAATTGTTTTATTCCTTACAAGAGATGACTTTTCTACTAGTAGTTTCAGAGCATACTGACTTAGTAGATAAGCCTTTCTGGGTGTGAAGATGTGGCCTAATTCAGTAATATTCAAGTACAGTTCACATCAATAGGATTTATAGGATAAGACAAGATTGTGAATAAGCCAAAAAACATCTGTCAATTTAATGCGTGCCCTTTGAGGCACGTGAGACGTGTATATTGTATAAGCGCCCTGAAAAGGGTCTACATACTAAAAAAGAATTTAAATTTGCCCAGTATCATCGCATTTCCTTTTAGTCAATTAAGTTGAATCAAGCCACAAGCCAATAAATGTTATTCATCTAGGAATCGAACTCAAATCCTTGGAGTCAATGGAATCCAACATTATCCACTGAAACATGAAGGCAATAATACATATTCAGCTACCTATTATGTCTGCCAATTCATATAGCTGCTCAAATTGTACAAACAAAATACCTACAAGTTTAACACTCTGGCATCACATTTGTAATAAGAGCCATTTGCAAAAAAAAATAGTCTTATCTGCTGTCGACTGTACTTTCAAAGTTGGTCGTGTAGATAACACTGAAAGTTGGCTATTTGGTTAAACTTGCTTGTTATCGAGTCGTGGCTCCACGCTCGAGTATATTCTGTGGCTTACGCCAACTTAGAACCTCATAAAGAGCTGTGCTGTTTAATTTTTTAACAAGGGAACGTGTTGTAAGATCCTTCGGGGCTTGTAAATTCAGGGAGTACCTACGTATAGTCACGTACTGAAATATGTTTTTTTAGTGTAAATAAATTACTTAGTATACTTATACATTTTAGTGCTCGTGACTGTACACACGACAGCACATCAGGCTACCCATTTTTGTTGCAAACTCACACCTATGACAACTGCACAAGAACCCACAGTGGTTACGTTGACGTGCCGTCGTCTGTACATTTATGTTTTTGAATAATATAGTGATGAAAACATTCACAAACGATGCTTGCTTATGTGAAGCAGTAAATCAAACGCACAGCGTTGTATAGAGCTCTGTAATTGGTTCGTGTGTGACCCTGTGCGTCCACGCGCACTGTGAGACCTCATCGTAATGTTTGTGAATACGGGCGTGTATCATCTTGGGACGGCCAGTGGTACACGTATTGTGCCAAACGTCGCGGGTTCGATTTCCGCACAATACAAATATTTGATCGTTTGTGTTGGCCTGTGTGTTATTTAAATAATTGTGAGATACTAAATACTTATAATTCAAATATTTTAAAAGTTCAAATAAAGATTATGTTTCTAAAAAATAAATCAAAAAGTTGTGGGACTTACCTAGCCTTAAAATTTTAGTAAAGAACACTTGGTATATGGTGGCACTCGTTGTCTTCCTATAACGTAACCTGAAACAAACAAAAAACCTTGATTAATACCACATTTGTGTAAACAGTTCTTTTTTCTAATTTTTTTTAATTTAAAAAATCCTGATAAATAAAGAAGTTTACTTAAGAATAAAAGAAAATGAATGTTTGCACAGCAATTGAAATGTTGGTTCGTTAAAATCAGTTATTACTGACAATTTAGCAGAAGAAATCAAGTTTAAACAAAATTACATTCACTGCAAACAGTTGATGTTTGATTTTAAATTCGATTTATTCAAAAACGTTTTTACACAATTGAATCTTGATAATTTATTTAAAAGTCGATTTGCATGCCTTGAATTATTAATGCTTGTTGACTTTCGCTTTAAAAAGATTTCTTATTTGTAAAATCTAAAATCAAAGATTTTTTGAAACTTTTGTCTTTGCTTTGCACGCAATTTAGGACATGTTGAAGCGATACGGGCCTATTCCCACCGCTCGTTCCCACCGGTGCAACTCCTATGTAGCCAGGATCTACAGCTTGAACGCCAGTAAAAACCCAACCAGTGAAGGTCAAGTTTGTCCCGGGGAAAGTTAAGCTGTCATTGGACCCGCAACGAAATTAATTAGAAGAACATAGGAGGAGTTCGAAGTTAAGGTTCAACTTCCCTCCATTAAAAAGTGGATGACAGGTAACAAACAAAGGTTTAGTAACCTTTAAGAAAATATATGCAGCACGGACAATAAACATCAATGACCTATCGTATTGAAGCGATATCTTACATTATCTACAAGTACTATTTCCTAATCATGTCATACAGCGATTAATTAATTGCCATCGACTATCGTGTCAATCAATTAAGCACCTACATGGTTACATAACAAGGGCTACATGAACTTGAGCAAGTCAAGGGCGCGTCAATCCGTCACTCGCTGCCACTCGGCTGATTGCCAGTTGACTGACGAATGGCGCTGACTGACCTTAAGGTCACCGCGATAGTGTACTTTATATCTTTATACTTAAAGGTTAATTCAGCGGTCAGTTCTTTTAAAGGTTAATTTAACAATCAAGTGATGTTCTTAAAGGTCAGCTTGACGATTGCATCTACCTTTAGTTACTCGTAAATTAAGTAATTAGTATTGAACTTTCGTACTTGTATTGGTATTTCATGGTCTAAGGCTGAGTTGCACCAACTTACTTTGACCGTAACTTTAACAATAACCGGTGCTTTTTATATGGATTTTGACAGATTTTTGACGTTTGATAAAGTCAAAATAAGATGGTGCAACTCAGCCTAAGGAACCCAGAAGATTATAAAAAGATTCCTTAGAAATAGTTTTCCACTGGATAAAATCAATTTCTTTACGTGGAACTCTACAAAGAAACTTTTGTTTGCTAGGCACTGCTTTTACTGAGCTAATGACAATAAGTTCTAACAATTATTTTTCTGAGATCCCTGACTGTTGATCGTATAACATTCTGAGAATGCCTCTCATATATCAATATTATGTTACATACAAATATTTTTACCTCCTCCGATAATACCAAAATACAAACTTACGCCCGTATTAAAAACTAATTAAAACTCATTTATTTCTGTAAATAGGCTTAAAAAAGCACTTTTACACGTCCCAATATTAACCCTACCACTGCTTCAGGACAATAAATGGGCCAGTGCTGAGAAACATTACTATGAGGTCTCACAGTGCGCGTGGACGCACAGGGTGACACATGAACCAATCACAGAGCTCTATTCAATGCTGTGCGTTCGATTTGCTGCGTCACTTAAGCAAGCATTGTTTGTGAATACGGGCGATAGGTTCTTTACAAAAACCCAGATCTAGTTTTTATTAGATCAAAGGCTTACAATGTCACTCCGACGTTAATAATGGAAACATTCCCTTTATAAGAATAATATTTCCCCAGGATTTGGAGCTTTTATATGTTGACCTTTGGAATTCGTTATGAAGGGACAAATGTTTTATTCAAACACAATGCGGAAAGTTCGGCCTAAGTCAAGTTTGTTTTTAAAAGACGTGGCATTGGTGAACGGTACAATAATATCGGCCTTATTTCTTCGTTTTTAAGATCTTCTAGATCATTTTTTTCCACAACGAGCAAGCTCTTGGCCTGTAGGTATCTTACCTGATGGTAAGTGATGATCAGGCCGAAGGTGGAAGCGAGCTTCACCCGGAATCCTCAACCTCGGAGGAACTGGCTATCTTACCTCTAACTGCCGGAACATAACAACGCTGTTAACATTGTTGTTATGGCGACAGACTTAGGTAAGATGGTGGTAGCTAGCCAATAAAAGTATGTTACTGGGTCAGAGAATAAATTAGCTAGAACGATCCCTACTTCCTACTAATCCTAATATTATAAATGCGAAAGTTTGTTTGGATGTCTGGATGTTTGTTACTCTTTTACGCAAAAACTACTGAACGGATTTTGATGAAATTTTACAGTATTATTGTTTATAATCCAGAATAATATATAGGCTATTATTATGATGATCTGTGATAAACTAAATTTCACGCGGGTGAAGACGCGGGCAAAAGCTGGTTTCTCATATTTCAAAGTGTAGATCAAAAATTCGTTAACCAAACCTAGTATCTTTCTTGGAGGAATGTGGCGTTAATTTTGTCTGGTGGCAACATATTGCTGTTTATTTGTCAATTAGGGAAAGTATAACCTTATTTCTTTCCTATAGCATCTACTAAGGGACGGTTCCGAACTCATAAGCTGTACATTTTGCAGCTAAAGCCATAAAACCAACTACGTAACATGTCTCAGTGTTTAACTTGCTGTCATCATCATCATCCTCTCAGCCATAGGACGTCCACTGCTGAACATAGGCCTCCCCCAATGCTTTCCATGTTGCCCGGTTGGTAGCGGCCTGCGCCCAGCGCCTCCTGCTACCTTTACGATGTCGTTGGTCCACCTTATGGGTGGACGTCCCACGCTGCGTTTTCTGGTACGCGGCCTTCACTCCAGAGCCATGCTGCCCCATTGGCCATCAATTCTGCGTACTATGTACCCTGCCCATATGTCATTGATGTACCATCGTCCAAACTATCATACAAAGCTTACAAATTACAAAGCATGATACATACTTAGGTTGAGTTGCACCATCTTATTTTTACTTTAGCAAAAGTAAAAAAATCTGTTAAGCTCCATTCAAGTTTCAGTGTCTGTTAAAGTTACGGTTAAACTAAGTTGGTGCAACTCGGCTATAAATACATGGCGACCGCTAACGACCTGAATGGGGACTATCTCCAGGGACATGAAGATAATGGATTTAAACCCGGAAATGACCCAGTGGTACCCAACGTGTCAAAAAGGATTAGAAATGTCAACCTTGTGATAAAGAGCAATAGGTACGAGAAGATTTTTGAGAGTTATCAGAAATTAGGTCGCAATTTATTATTAACCCTTTAGTAATGAAAACTTGAGCTATGTAGAGGGCTATGCTCGATGTTTCTTTTCGAGATCGAATTAGAAATGATGAGATCTGTAAACGANATTTCATGGTCTAAGGCTGAGTTGCAACAACTTACTTTGACCGTAACTTTAACAATAACCAGTGCTTTTTATATGGATTTTGACAGATTTTTGACGTTTGTTAAAGTCAAAATAAGATGGTGCAACTCAGCCTAAGGAACCCAGAAGATTATAAAAAGATTCCTTAGAAATAGTTTTCCACTGGATAAAATCAATTTCTTTACGTGGAACTCTACAAGGAAACTTTTGTTTTCTAGGCACTGCTTTTACTGAGCTAATTCAATGCTGTGCGTTCGATTTGCTGCGTCACTTAAGCAAGCATTGCTTGTGAATACGGGCGTTAGGTTCTTTACAAAAACCCAGATCTAGTTTTTATTCGATCAAAGGCTTACAATGTCACTCCGACGTTAATAATGGAAACATTCCCTTTATAAGAATAATATTTCCCCAGGATTTGGAGCTTTTATATGTTGACCTTTGGAATTCGTTATGAAGGGACAAATGTTTTATTCAAACACAATGCGGAAAGTACGGCCTAAGTCAAGTTTGTTTTTAAAAGACGTGGCATTGGTGAAGGGTACAATAATATCGGCCTTATTTCTTCCTTTTTGAAATCTTCTAGATCAATAAAAGTATGTTACTGGGTCAAAGAATAAATTAGCTAGAATGATCCTAATTCCTACTAATCCTAATATTATAAATGCGAAAGTTTGTATTGATGTCTGGATGTTCGTTACTCTTTCACGCAAAAACTTAGAACGGATTTTGATGAAACTTTACAGTGTTATTGTTTATAACCCAGAATAACTAAAGGCTATAATTTATGATGATCTGTGAACTAAATATCACGCGGGTGAAGCCGCGGACAAAAGCTGGTCTCTCATATTTCAAAGTAGATCAAACATTTGTTAACAAAACCTAGTAACTTATTTGGAGGAATGTGGCGTTAATTTTGTCTGGTGGCAACATATTGCTGTTTATTTGTCAATTAGGGAAAGTATAACCTTATTTCTTTCCTATAGCATCTACTAAGGGACGGTTCCGAACTCATAAGATGTACATTTTGCAGCAAAAACCTCTATTCCAACTACGTAAGATGCCTCTGTGTTTAACTGGATGTCATCATCATCATCATCTCAGCCATAGGACTTCCACTTCTGAACATAGGCGTCCCCCAACGCTTTCCATGTTGCCTGGTTGGTAGCGGCCTGCGTCCAGCGCCTCTACCTGTACGATGTAGTCGTTCCACCTTATGGGTGATCGTCCCACGCTGCGTTTTCCGGTACGCGGCCTCCACTCCAGAACCTTGCTATCCCATTGGCCGTCAGTTCTGCATACTATGTGCATGTGCCCTGCCCGTATATTATGTTACTTGATGTACTACCATCGTCCAAACTATCATACAAAGCTCACAAATTACAAAGCATGATACTTAGGTTGAGTTACACCATTTTTACATTAACAAAAGTAAAAAATCTGTCAAACTCCATACAAAAAACACCGTTATCGTTATAGTTACGGTAAAAGTAAGTTGGTGCAACTTGGCTATAAATACATG